GCCTATGCATGGTAGCCCTTCCATAATCCGGGGTGGTAATAATTTAATTCTAGATTGTATCGGAGAGTTTTCGTTAAAGTTTCCTATTTACGCAGATGTTCGTGGGGAAATAACTGAACCCATTTTTTAAGTAAAGGCATTGCTTCATTAGAACAAGCTCTAATTCCTTGTCAAAGGATACTCCATGTCAAATTTGGTTGAAAAAGGTTACGTCGTTCTGGAGAAAAAGAAGAGCTAGCGACAACAATGACGTCATATAACAGGCAAATTTTGATCAGATAAGTACACTAGTACTTGACCTTGTAGCACAGGTATTCTAAAATCTACTAATCCATTTGATAATTTATGCAACTTTTCAATTAACTGAGAACTAAAAAATAGTGGATTGCACTTTGGATGTCCTTTGAATACTTTTACTTCAAGAAAACGTATTTAGCAAGTGATTTCATACGACATCATAATTATTGTCTACCTCTGTCGTGGAAGTGAGGGGCATCAAATCTCATTCTTCTGTACGTCTGTCTAGCTGTCCGTCCGTCACAAAAACAAGGCCATGACATTTGAATGAGAAGAAATAAGGCTTTCATATTTCAAATATCTACATACTACTTTGGGAATATTTTTTTACGCAAGAGGCATGAAGATGGTAATGAATCATGGAGTAAAAATCTATAAATCAAATTCAAAGAATTATGATCCCTCGCTTTCCGTGTCTTTGTGGGTGAGGTGTCATTTTTTATGGCATTTTGTGTCAAATATGAATGCCTTATCATATGTCATTTAGGAATTATCACCGACGTTGAATTTGTTTTAAAGTAAGGTCAATCGTGAAGGTCAAGGTCATTGGGTCAGAAATCAAAGCATGCTCGGAAATATTTTGTCACAGGTAATGTGCACGTGTCAAATATGAAAGCTTTGTATTCTCTCAAATTAAAATTGTAATGAAACAGTTTTGAAAAAGAGGTCCAACTTTAAGGTCAAGGTCACAAGATAAAAATATTTTTAATATAAACATATATTCAAAAGGCGTTTTCACAGGCAATAAATAGGTTTAATATGAAATCTTTATTTTTTATCATTTTAGAATTAATTACCAAAATTTTTCGACATTTCTTGTCATAGGTAATATCCATGTTTAATATGGAAGTCCTATCTTTTATCATTCAAAAGATATGACCCAGGTTAAATTTTCTGATAAGTTTATCAAACTTCAAGGTCAAGGTTACAAGGGCAAAAATTATAGTACATAAAGGCCTGTCTTGTCACAGGTAATATACATTTTAACAATAGACGCCCCTATCTCTTCTCATTCAAAAGTTATGGCCAATTGAAAGTAATGTTTATTTTTTTAGATAGATCAAAAAAAGTCATGCATTTAGAAAGGTCTTATCACAGGAAAATACATGTTTAATACGAAAGTTTTATCTCTCCTCATTCAAAAGATTTGACCAAGGTTATCACCTTACATTAGTATCAAGGATTGGAGAAATAGGAAAAATAAAGAATGGATTGAAATGCATCAATAGCTCACTCCACTTATTTCCTGGTTGGAATAGTTAATTGCAAAAAAAAAATGTAATTCATAATGTACACAAACATGAAATTTCCTTTTTGATAAAAACTATATCCATTCGTGCATCAACATATAACACGATAATTTTCGGAATAACAAGATGTGTTTGTGAAACACTATGCACCCGGCGGCGACAAAGTCGAAAAGCTATTTTTTTGCATATAGATCATAGTCAAAGTCAAAAGGTCATTGACTTGGTGTTATCTGAAAGAACTTGCTTACCAAATAAGAAGTCTTTGTCTTAAATTCTTCATTTGTTATGGCGAAGGTTTGAAAAAGCTTTTTTAGCATATAGGTCACAGCCAAGGTCACAAAGTCATAAACCATGGTGTCATTTGAAAGAGTTTAATTGTTGGAGTAAGCATTTCAAATAAAATGTCCCCAAATCTCTATCGTTTTTGGTTCAAAAGTTATGACAACAATCTAAAAAATCTATTTCACAAGGCCATTAATCTTTGTGTCATTTAGAAGAGCTCCATTTCTGGAGTAAGCATAATTATTAATTAATATGAAGTCTATATCTCTCATGGTTCAAGGTTATGGCAAATGTGAAAGCTGACAACAGAGAAACAAACAGACAGACGGGACAAAAACAATATACAGCCACGTCCATCGATTAGGACGAATAAAAATCAACTGTGACCGAAAACAAATTTCCCAAATGGAAGACAAGGTGATTTTACCATAAAACAATTTATTGCAGGTTTTTTTCATTTCTAAAAAAATTGTTTACAAGATTTTACTGCATATTTTGCATTCTTATGGCAAAATGTATCTTCCATTACGAAAACATTGAGCTATTGTACTTTGCACTTTTATAAGGTTTTTACAAGATGTTATTGCAAATAGCATCCTGTCATGAATCATGACCTCGTTTTCGTTTTCCTGTTTGTTTACTAACGCTTAAATCAAAAATTTCTTTGTAGATGGTCATGGAATCGTTCTCTTTTCTGCAATCTATCGTTGTTTTTGTATTTTTGGCTCATAGTACGAATGTATGTAAGTATAAAATTATTAACATCAATATGACATATAATGACAATCATTACTTCCCTAACAAAAAAATACTATAGTAAACTATAGTTAATTATAGTTTACTATACTCCAGTAGTTAACTATAGTACCAAAGTTAAAACTTTGGAACTTTGATTTACTATGGTGAAAACTTTGGAACTTTGATTTACTATGTTGAAAACTTTGGAACTTTGATTTACTATAGTTAAAACTTTGGAACTTCGATTTACTATGGTGAAAACTTTTGAACTTTGGTTTACTATAGTAAAAACTTTGGAACTTTGATTTACTGTGGTGAAAACTTTGGAACTTTGATTTACTATAATAAACTATAGTTAAATGTAGTTTACTATAATATTTTTTTAGGGTACTTGGATAATGACAAAATAATGTTTTCGCAGCTGATTATTTCAAGTGAATTACTTATTCAGTATTCATGAAGGCTAAAAAAAGATACACATTTACACTGTTTTGACGATGGATTTTCCCCATTATTTCCCCAAATCATGACAAGGAGCACAGGACGGGTGTGATCGGTCGGCAGGGGATGCTTACTCCTCCATAGCAACTGATCAGACTTCCGATATTTTGGAGGTCTGTGTTAGCTCTGCTCCAGTTTTGTATTGTTTTATAGACTTTTGATCTTGACTACTGTTCGTTATCTCCATGTTTCATTACAATCGGCCTATGTACGAGATGTGCTAACCACACCTGAAGCTAAAATGAAAAAGTTCCAGATTTCAACAGTGCATATACAGAGAGAGGTCCTTTTCCTTTTTAAAGATGCATGGACACAGATTTGAATTTAAAATTTTCTGTATAATATTACGATTTATATATTTTAGTAGCATTTTACACAAAAATAAATTAAAATTTTCTTCCATCTAAAAGTTATTAAAACTTAGAATTTTTAGACGGGTTTGATTGACACAACCTTGCACTTTCACAAATTTTATTCTTAATACTTAGGGAAAGTGGCAGTCCTGTTGAATATAAATGAAAAATATTAAATTTTAATCCAGGTGTAATGTACGAGGGGCGTTCAATAAATAATGTCATTAGGGCTCGGAAAGAAACAAAAAACGCTTTTCTACGACTTTGTCTTAATAATTTAACTAAAATATTCTCTTTCAATTAAAACGCATATCCGTAACATTTTCATTCAATTTCTAATTGTTTTTCGGACACATTTTTGAGTATGACCCTTCGTATACTGGAATACGGCAGATCCTATGGTTTGCTGTACTTGTTTTTTTCTTTCTGATAGATGTTTTTCTAAGCTTAGGAAATGAAACAAGTCAAAGATTGAAAGAACTGGCAAATTTTGTTGGTGTAACAAAACATTAACTTTCTGTTTATCCCTAAAACTCCTTTACTCTTCATGGCCTGTGGGTTTGGACGCCGTCATGAAGACACTTAATGTAGTGAATTCCTCATGTTGTTTCCTTTCTCTCTTAAACCTTTCAATTGTTTTGCAAAAAATTGTTTTCTAGACTCCTCCATAAATTGAACTTCCTCCCAGAATATGACTTTGAGCAACAAGACCGCTAATATTTAAGAAAATAGCATATAAAACGGTTTTATTCTCATGCAATTCTTTGCTCTTCTTAGGCCTTTGTAGTTTTGTCAAGTGCATCTTATTGTAAATTTGTTTTGTGGGCTTAAAGCAAAATGGATTCAGGTTTCATTATCTGTTAGAATTTCATACAGACGTGGATAAGTACAATTTTTGATTTTTAAAAATAATTGTTTGGATATTCCTACACGCTGTCCTTTTCACTCATTTTTCAAAATATAGGGTGACCTTTGAGTATGAAACTTTTTTACTATAACACGTTTCTTTAAAACAGTATGAACTATCCCCAAAATGATGTTTATCGATTTTGCTATGTGTCTAAAGTCAATAAAACATAATGAGTGATAATTTGTTGAAATTTCTCAAAGAACTATATGCGGTATATTGCATATGTTTGCCCCCACAAAAGTCAAATTTTGAAAACTTCCTGAAATGTGCTGAATTCAATAAATTGTACGAGAAATATAAGTTAACAGAAAATATTATAGTTCCAGAGCAGTGTATTCACAATTTCTGTTTTTATGACGTCACAAACTAGTCCGATTTTATATCCTTTTTCAGAAAGAGGACAAAATGGACAAAATTTCAACAATTTAAGCTTTAGAATTTATAGAGCGCATGTGTGTTCAGGAACAATATTGACATATTTCATTGATATTATCATTCTACACATTATATCAAAATATTAATCCTGAACACACATGCGCTCGGTGACTTTTATTTAAAATATCGACGAAATATGTACATTTTTCTGCAAAATTCATAAAAAACTGAAATTTACGTCATATTTGTGACGTCATTACGTACATATGACGTCATTACTTATGAAATTATTCAGTGCTTTGAAGTCAGCATATACTCCCTTGTTTAAGGACTTAATTAAATATTACTCCATCAAAGTTTGATTTTGGGGGGCAAATGTTGGTTAATACCGCATATAGTTCTTTACATCGGTAGTTATAAGTCATTGTTGCCAAGGACTGTACCTATTTTGATGCCCATTATATAATTTTTGTTTATTGAAATCTACTTGTTCATCTGTCTATAAAACAGGCATTGGTTGCTGTAAATTTAACATATTTTATGTAATATATTGTTGGGATATTAAGAAGTTTTACAGCTCCTTTAATGAAGCGTTTAATTTTACTCTAGTTTACTGATTCTTGGCCATTCATTTTTAATGCAGTGTCTCGAATATTCCTTGTTTTCCAGCTTCCAACGATGAAATAATACGATGAAAAGTGGTCACACAAACTGTAATCAATTCAATAAAGATTCAATAATGAGAGAAAGTCAAGCTTTATGCCATATGACTACTGTGTTGTATATCATCGAGCTAATGACATTATTTATTGAACACCCCTCGTAGGTTAATTCGTTGCAAGTGGGATACCCATGCTTGCCTAAGGATTTTCCTACACAGCCCCCACCCCCCACTTCCGTCTCTAAGGGGTTCCCCTTGGCACCTCGCAAATGTAGGACAAAAGGAACACCTTCATGAGCATGTTGCAGAGCCCAACTGAATGTGGACATCTGCAATGACCTCTCCTTAAGAGAAGCCCGTTCAAAATGTAGACCCACCTCCCCCAGAGGCCCCACCTTTTGTTTTTTTGAGCAGCTCCCCCAACTGATCGTGATAAAAGTCATTATACTGACTGGTCTGTTTAGCGTTCACTCCCACTGCCACCTTCCAGGGGATATGGCATAACTGCTCTTCTAGCTGTTGGCCACTCGGCCAATACTTAGGAACACAGTATACAATCGCCCCACCCTCAACTATTAGTACCCTAACAGGGACTGTTGGAGCTCGGGATAATGCCCTACTTATGACTGAGTAGGCCGTTACGCAGCTAGGTTAAGGCCGCCCATAGGAAACAAGCCTTAAAATATTCCGAAATAATCAATATAATGTTAATATATTTTTTTATTAGCATGAGTTTTAATTTAATGGGAACTATACTAATGCATGTGTATGTATGGGATTTCAACCGAGTTTGGTCAACGTGACTTCACGTACATCAGCTGTTTGTCACGTGATATGTTTAAAATTAGAAAACATATGTACGGATACAAAGATCGTAAAAGTTCAACGATATACGGATAATTTTTCACTGTGAAATTGATTGTGTTTTCTTTAAGACAAATTTCTTTACCCGAAAAGTGCTGGGAGCAACTTCTCCATGCCCGGGAATTAAATAAAATTTAGCCGACTTTTGATAAACTATGTGCATTTACACTATACGCATTGAAGAAATGTAAAACTACGGAAAAAATCAGCAGCGCACAATTTGCTCCCAGCACTTTTCAGAATGGTAGGGACAGTAGCTACATGTGTATAAAATATTATAATTTATAATCAAGCGGATATCGTTGAACTTTTGAGATTTTGGAGCGGTTGTACATGTGATTGTAGTTCGTTTCTGTATAAAAGTGCAGGACTGCGGCTTTATAAGAGACCTAATAGTAATCAATTAAATAAGACTGTGAACTATTGATTATTGCATTCAAAAATATGAATCAATTATAGTCAGATCACGCTTATTTGGATTTATTTTTCATATTTTCAGTTCCACTAATAGCTTTATCTGCGTCTCAAGTACAGAGAAACTGCGTGTCAAACTAGCCTATGACGTCATATCTGTTAGTACAGCGAGATCAAGTTGGCTTTGATTTTACATTCGAATAGTTTTATAATGACAATATAAGTTACTCATTGATTGATATTTACTATAATCATGAGAAATCAAAGTATGTAAGAGTATATGAAAAAGAAAATTATTATTTATTCGCCGAGATTCATTTGTACAATTTCACCGTGACGTCGTAATCGAATTTTGAGGCTCTGCATACACCTACCTTTGGGTAGCCCTTAACCTAGTTGCGTAGTTGTGAATTCCCTCCGAATCTCTTCATAGTGCCAGTTGCTGTCTACTGTAATGTATGGATCAGGATGCAGAGCCTTAGGGCTTAGCCAGGGATCATTCCACATGATACCCCTTCTTATACCACCATCCACCCTGGGTTGCACCACCACCAATGACAGGGACACTTCTGCTCCTAACCACCGAGTAGGTCCCTGGGCATGTAGCCATAATCTGGTCCCTCTGAACGGGTCTCGGGGGCTCATTACTACCACCTAGGCCTCCTAATGAGCTAATAGAGCCGGGCTATTGATTGGTTTAGAACAAAACCCCTCTGGAACCTACCACTCTGCCTCCTCACAGATCTGCCTTAGGGATTTGCTCAGATTTTTCAAGAAGATACCAGTCCCCAATGCTGCTGACACCATTGTCACTGGGACCTCTCGTGTCCCTATTCCCGTAGCCACTAACATTGCCCTCAAAAAAGTGGCTCTCTGTCTTGCTAGCGAGGAGGTGATCTCCAACTCAAAGAACAGCTCTGGGACATGAGTGTTTTGCTGGCGGACGCCTACTTCATTCGTTAATACCCCTCAAATAGAGAAATTACGCTGGGTTTGGCTGGTAGATTAAAGAGCCCCCCCCCCCCCCCGGTACAGGAGGACACCCATTTTGACTGATAGATTGAAGGCCCCCCTTGTTACTGGAGGACACGAGGTTTTGCTCCTAGATGGGATGGTCCTCCCAAATGCAGGATTAGGGCGTGACCTACTGTGATCTTCACCTTTTATAGGCCCTCTAGAGGCTTTTAGCCGTTCAGTCTCTTCCCTCCTTTTTCTTGCCAAACGTTTCCGGAAGCTAGATCTACATTTCTTTTTCTAACCTTCCCATACGTTTGGACACCCTCCTCCCAGGAACAACACTCTTCCAACTCCATGATCTTGGAGTCCCCGACTCCCGCATTCCCCAAGAGAACCCCATGAAAGTTTAATTGAAATCTCCTCTTCTGCCAAGATTCTTAGCTCTTCTAGGCCTCCCCCATACTCTAGGCTAGACATCCTTAATCCCCCCCCCCGTGCCCACACAAAACTCTCTGTCCCTCACTGGACTCCATTCTTTCTTTTTTCTGTTCTTGTCGTACGTCTTGCCCTCTGAAAGAGAAGAATAAAATTATGATTAAGACTTACCCCTATCAGACCGTCGAGGCAATGTTTCTGACCCTCCCATGGATTCCCTTTCATGGGAGCAAAGTGGACATGTGAACTTATCAATGCCCTCTGCCATTTCTGGTGAGATCCCTACAGACTTCCCATGGAACCAGTCAAAGCATACATCACATTGAATCATAAAGTCCCCCCTGAAGGATTGTTTACATATACAAAAAGACTCCTTCTCTTCCTCATTTTTGTTCTTTCATACAGAAGAACCCGGATCTAAATTCCCCACCTTCAAAGACTTTCTTAAGTTTCTCACCCTTGTGATTCTTCCGTATGTAGAAGCTGCCATGGATTCTTTTGGTAGATCTCTTTGAACAACTGGAGTAGGATTACCCCATCCTGATCTCCAGGACATAAGATAACCCCATTCTTTGACCTGAATAACTAACCCCCATCCAACGCTTTTTGGACATTTAAAGAAATCATTAATCCTTAGATTTCTTAAGTTCTTCAATGTCCCCTGAGATGAAACGAATGTGGTTTCTCCCCAACCAGTGTTTTGGTTTTATTTTTAACTCGTTTAATGTTTTGTTCTTAGATGTGGCCTCTCAATTCGCTGGCGGTAAGATATCATACGATAGGCCCTTTCGACTTGGTGAAACTTTTCGAGGAATATGTTACGAGGAAATACCTCTTGGTGATAATATAACAGTGGTGGATGCCTACTGGAAACGTGGGAATACTGAGTATTGTCACAAAGGTCAAAAACTATTGCTAAATAGACGCTACACGTGTAATGCAACTACTGTACACAATAGGACTACCTTCGAACTAAGAATTCCAGGTACAGTGTGATGCTTCTGTTTATTGCATTTCTTCATAATGAGTTCATCTAAAGTAATTTCTTATGCAACAAACTTTTTTTTTGTCTTGTTAGACCTGGCATTAGAAGATGCTGGTATATACCTTTGTTATCTTCCGAGTTACGATACACTTTTTACTTATTAAGTTACATTCATTGGTATGTATGAAATTATGCTGAAAAAAAATGAATATTCACTAATTTCAACCATTTTTAAGTCATTGTTGTTGTAAAATTCAATTTAAAATGATATTGGTCATTTGATTTTACACGAAGACATTAATTTTGTTTGAAAGTTATTCATGACATTGTAGTTTAACATAAGCTAATTAAAATAAGAACTCTTTGATACGCGCCGAATATACTCTCGTTACGCATACACAGAGTGTATATGGGCGGATCGAAGAAGTCTGATTTTAAACTGATTGTTATGAAATATTATCTTTAGTTCTCTATTTGAGTTTTGTACGATCAACTATAATATGTCTTTTCTTACAGGTCCTTCAATTACAACACCAGGTCAAACACCAGGTCAAGCACCGGGTAAAACTTGATTATTTCTTTAACACTGTTTTCTTTTGATCTTCACTTTAAAATATTATCATCATTTTAATTTAATAAATATGCCTTTTAGAATTTTAGATAAAATAAATCTTTCAATTTTAAGCAATTCTCTGTGTAAATGTATATCTTAATAAGATGTCAGTTGTTTGCATTGTGTATCATTAAAAGAAAAAAAATACCATAATGTAAACAAATTTCGTAATCAGCAATAAACTGTAACGGGAGAGGAGAAGAATCCAGCGGACCAGATTAGGATCCAACCCGGGCCCCTTGAAACTTCGGTCAGGTGCTCTACCGACTAAGCTATCTGACCACCGGCGATAGAACGCGACTTACCGCGACATTCCTCCGTCCTTAGTGGTCTTTAGCCCCAAAAAGACCCGAATCCAAGATTATCTTTGGTAGACGTCTCATCTGTCATTTCCAGGGGGGCATGGCACGGCACCAAATGTAAAGGAAGAGACTATCTTGCTACCGGCAATCGAACCCGACTGACCTCCACATATATTTTAAATTACGGGTTATGCTTCAGACGAAAAAATAAGTAATTAAAATTATACAAGCAGGGTTTTTAGTCTTAATACACCTTAGCGTGAAAGGCATCTTTAGTGAAACAGTTACAATAAGGTGCAGTAAAACTGTATATCAAAAATCAAAATAACTAAATGTAAAAAAAAAAAAAAAAAAAAAAAAAAAAAAACCAACTGTCCGGTTAAATATTGATTCCTTTCTGCATTTTAAAAAGAAACAATCTTATTTTTTTTATATTCAGGTGGTGCCTGTTTACTCAAACTTTATATGAATATTTTTATTTAATAGTCTAATGTTTATTATCTTTTGTAGAATCAACAACAGTAACGACTCTAATAAAGCATCTCTTTTGATATTTTCTTCAACTTAGATTTTTCTTTTTTTAATACATATTCGGTATAATCATTAAATTTCAATGATCAACAGGAATACATATACACTAGAAAAAATTGTTAACGCACCACTTGTTGATTCTTGTTTGTGAATTCAACATTTGCTGGATCGGTTCAAGTGTATATAATATGCAATTATTTCCAAACCAGTGGGATGGACAAGTGTCTTGGTATCATGAAAAGACCCTTGAATAACCTTTTCCGAAAACCAATTTCCAGCTGTGCAATGTGCACCATTTTTGACCAGATATGAAATTCTTGATCACTACGGTGGTCTGTGAGGTTGCAACAGAAGTAGTCCCCGAGTTATAAATCAAATGACAAACAGTCATTGCATAACTCTTATTTCGCCGCGCAGTACTGTTAAGGCTTCCCAAAGCTTAAAATCTAATTACAATATCATATGACCTTCTACCGTCAAACGCCGCATATTGTGTAATTTTTTTCAGAGTTTTTAATAAGTACAAATGTAAAGAATGTAAATGGGAAAGACACGATTTTAATTTTTTCTATGAGTTGGTCACACTTCTACGACGGCGTATTCGTGCCATATTGACAATGTAGAAAAAGAAATTTAAAAATCGTTTGTACGATTTTTTAAATCGTTTGAACGATTTATAAAATCGTTTGAACGATTAAAAAAAATTGTTTGTACGATTTAGAAAATCGTTTGAACGATTTAGAAAATCGTTTGTACGATTTTTTAAAACCATTTAGGAAATCGTTTGTACGATTTTTAAAATCGTTTGTACTATTTTTAAAATCGTTTGTTCGATTTTTAAATCGTTGGTACGATTTGTTAAAATTGTCTGAACGATATAGAAAATGGTTTGTTCGATTTAGAAAATCGTTTGTACAATTTTTATTTCTTGTTATTACATGTAAAAGAAGCGTAGTAGTAAACCTTGCACAAATAGAACAACGTATTTATGCATAGTTTTAATGAATGACACGATGAATGGCAGAGAAAAATTGATCAAGGAATATTTCAAAATGGGTTTCACTTTTTCGGAAATAGCACAGCTCCTTTCGCAAACTCACCGAGTCTTACAACAGCTAAGTTTGGACTGTTCATACGTAAATACAAATCCGACGTAGGGGATGTAGCTCTTTTCATTGATGAAACACTTGAGTCATGTGGGAAATTGCATGGATACAGGTGATTGTACTGGAAAGCTATTACGACAGGATTTACCGTTTCTTAAGAAGATACTCGATGTCTTCTTTCTATACAAGATCCGGAGGGAGTGCGTTTAAGGAAAAGAATCAAATTAAGACGAAGATTGTACACTATCAAAGGTCCAGATTACGACAAGTGATCATTGAAACATTGTGAATGTAACCGTGATATGATGGTTTACTAATTATAACAATACAAAAATATTCACACAGTTTTATTTACAAGATAAAATTTATTATAAGTGTGTCTGTACCTATTATAGTCAGCAGCGAAGGGAATTCTCTATGCAACAGCTTTACCAGGTTTCTTATCCAGTACGCTTCTCTTCCGAATCAGAAAAAATCGTTCAAACGATTTTTTTACTCGTTCAAATGATCTTCTTATTCGTTCAAACGATTTAACAAATCGTACAGACGATTTTCTACATCGTTCAAACGATTTAAAAATCGTTCAAACGATTTAAAAATTGTACAAACGATTTTTAAAATTTTCTCTACATTGTCAATATGGCACGAATACGCTATCGTACACTTCAGCTAATATTGTATTTATTTATAAAGACATTTATGCCTTATTTACTATTAAAGTAACATATTTATGTATCAAATACATCATAAACAGGTTTTTAAAAGTTAAATTTTAATTATCTTAGTTGGTGCGTTAGCAATTTTGTCTGGTCTATATACTATTTTGAAATTTATAAAGTGACATAGAGTGTACTTTTATTGATTTTTTTTTTTAATTTACTTTTATTAAATTTATGACTGAATTTTTTGCTTCTTTGCAGGTGGCATTGATGACACCCATGGAAGCTGCCTCAGTAGAAACCAAACTTCTATCAACTATTGTCAGCTTCTCTAGTTTATATTTGATTTTATATGCGGTTTTTTCATTGGATTTATATAATCTATGGTCAATTCATACTTTATTACTTGTATTTCGAACTCTGTAATCAATGTATAATATCAACGGTAATATGGAGTAAATCTTAAAGACACTAAAACCCTTTAGTCATATATACGGTAAAGATTAAAGTAAATCAATTTAATTCAGGTGCCATATACATTTTATATATTTCATGAATATCTGTAGTATATAATGATATGGAGATAACGAACAGTATTCAATCTCAAAGTCCATTAAACAATACAAAACAAGAGCAGAGCAAACACGGCCCTCCAAAACATCAGAGGTGGGATCAGGTGCCATGGAGGAGTGAGCATCCCCTGCCGACCGGTCATATCCGCCGTGAGCTCCTTGTTATGATCGGGAAATAACGGAAAAATCCTTCGTCAACTCAGTGTATAAACAATGGACTAACAATTAGTATGGAAAACGTCAGTCAGCATTTCACTCAAGGATAAATTGTATTTGCTGACAAGGTCGTCACATGATTACTTTAAAAGAGACTAAAGGGTTAATATACTAGCCAATGCTAGTAGAAAGCCATGTATCTGACACTACTACATTGTCCCCCTCCAGAGAATGAGATGTCCTCATCTCTTTCGGAGTGCCAACACCTGTGGGGCGAAGTTGTACGGACAATCACTCTCACCCGCCAGAGAACACCAGGGCTTCACGTTGGACTCCAAATGTAACCGAGACAATTTTGTGCCTCTGCAGGGGATTAAACTCACGGTTCTGGCTTGCCAGTTCAGTGCTCTACCAATTGAGCTAAAGGGTTAACCCACTGGTCCAAGCTAGCTAGTAGGAAACCATATATCTGACACTACCACATTTCAAACACAGGATAAAGGGTAAACAACTTAGGTTTATTTTTTTTTTCAACCAAACAACCTGTGCTTCTACATTGATATGTGCACATGTTTACAATCGTTGACAAACAGTGGGTCATCCATCATTACAAAGAAACGGTGGTTGTATTATTCGACAAATTGTTTCCTATATTTCTGGTCCCAGTAACAAGGTTCTCCTTCATAATGTATATTTCTGGCGTGGGTTTACTACAGTGACTACGAACTTTTTGGTGCCAGTTAGAGATTTTGACTAAATTTTCCTTTCGCAGAATGATGTAGACCCAAGGATCAACAATGGCGTTACTGACGGTCATTCTAACTGCCAGCAGTTCATCAGGACCATTCTTCGAGTTACCAGTGCTAGCGTTGATCAGCATACGAACCTTAAATGAATTATTCAAACAAATAATGTCTTTAGATTAGTTGAAGTACCGAATGATTAAAGAGGTGAGAGAGAAAAAAATATTTTAAAAACAACAAATAATTTTAATGTCTTTAGATTAGTTGAAGTAATGAGCGATCAACGAGTTTCGAGAAAGATTTAAAAGATTAATATTATTTTCGTCAAACAATTGAATAAAAAGGCAGGATTTGGAAATGATTTGCTTGTTAGATTAATAGAATGTGCTTGCCACAAACATGTGAAGAATCGAAAGGAATTTTTTTCTGATTTATTTGGGCATGAGAAAATTATAAGATCACACTTTCGCCTGATACAAAAAAATGAAAAAAAGGTACCCTTAGTTTAAATCAAGCGGGGACTATATTTTTGGCATAATATTTGCATAGGAAAATATACTTATGGCACTGATTAAGTAATGCAGAAATTGTTTTGCACTTAAATATGGGAAGAATTGTTATTCTGCAATTGTTTAAATTTGGCTCATTTACAGAAAAACAAATACCCGTTCCATTTTGTTGATAAATTTGTTTCCAATAAACCGTTGATTAGATTTATTTATCATTTATCTCTTAATAACGAATTAGATTACATAACTTCACATTGATCAGGACCATCAAAAAAAAATCTTTTACAGTACAATTAGATAGGCTTTGTCAACTTGATACTGGCAATCATCATTATCGGAATGAGGAAACAGAAATGAAAATAAATTAATGAAATAATCAATTTCTGCACAAAGACTTTAATACGTGTAGGTTTGGATAAATATCATAAAAATATTTTGGATATCAAATTAGACATATATTTTTGGAAGCTTTCTCCTTAATGAGGTTTTCATCTATAGCTATATTATTTCAATTAGCATTAGTTTTCCATTTTATTAGTTGTTCAGGAAACAGAAAAAAAACAATTTATATTTTTATATCGAGTATAAAATTGGACAACATGTACAAGTTGCATTGTGATATATAAACACTTCGATTTTTCCAAATAAAGGTAGAGTAAGTTTGAAGGTTTTTTGTGTTTTCTTGAGTAAGTCACTTTCTGTAACAGTGGTACATCTTCTTCATTTTTTTTTCTTTTAGTCTCTCTAATCTTAGTACATATCTACCTTTATTTTTATTATTTGAATACTGTCGTAATTCTTGCAATTAGAGATGTAGAATATATAAACTTAATTCTATACATATTACTCCTGAATAAATTGAACTATAGTAAATACTTTTATTTACTATCAAAATTTACTATAGAACTACGGAACTTTTTTGTAGATTAGAACCTTGAGAACTCTTTAATAACACATAAACGAAGTAAATTCTTGAAATTATGTAAAAATATGCATTTATATTTTCTTTTTTATACATACGAGTTTTGCTTGTAGTAAATTAAAAAGTAAGATACTATCAGCTGATATTCCTTGTTAAAATACTTTGAAAACTATTATATTTAATATTCGATTGCTAATGTGAAACTACTTCGATATTTAATATAGTAAAAAATAACTTAATATTTACTATGGTTTGTATTGTTAAAAAATGTATATCATTGCAGGATTAAATTTCCAATGAAGGATAAAGCAAAAAAAAAGAAAAGTACTTTATTTGCCTTTGCTACGAATATGTAGTACCACATATGAATTTTTTCAGAAAAAATGAAATGATTTGCCAAAATTTCTCTAACCATGAAGTACTTGTAATTGCTTTATATCTCGAATATAAAGATTAATAAACTTACCATTAAAGGTACCCAGCATATCGAAAATAATGTCACAATTGCAAACAAAAACACCACGATAAAAACATCGCCTTTCTTCTTTTTACTTCTATTAGATGTCGTAAATCTGGGTTTTCTGCATATGGAACAGACCACTGCCACGTTTAAAACAACTGTTGATGATAAAATAGCAAACCCAATAATAGAATATACAAAAGTGTTCACTCTTTCCATCTGACCATTGTTGGCAAAGTCTATAAAGCACCAGGATCCTGGGTAGAAGTTTTTGACGGATCCAACACCCATGAGATTTAGAGACGATACAGTACCCGACAGGACCCAAATGACAGCCAGCAATATATTTATTCTCTTTCTCTGGGAGGCTTGATAGGAGATAGGAAACCTTACTGCTATAAAACGGTCAAGAGACATGGCAGTCACGATCAGGGCTGACGACATGAAGCAGAAGGAGAACCAAAATGAACAGTACTCACACAACTGCTTGGGAAATATAAAGGTAAACTTGGAAATGTATCGGATCATAACGGCAGGGTAAACAAATCCTATTTCACAAAAGTCAGTAATAGCAAGACAACAGACAAGTCTGTAGAATGGCTTCCATTTGTGCTTACTTGAAGTCTTACACAGGAGAAAAATGGCCATTATGTTCCCTAGAACTCCGAATAAGTACTGAAGGGTGGGAGGTATGATGCTTTCTGATATAGTTTCCTCGGTAGTGTTCGAATGGCTGAAATTGTTTGTTCCATTGCTTATCCACCATGCATTCATGATTCTCGATTTTTACACAAAAAGTCACAAGTATCCTTTCCTTGATTCGTTTAAGCACTCAGTGTTGATCTTTGATACTGAAAGTCACTGCAAAGAAGCTATTGGCAATATTTATCCTTCACTGTCTATGAAAACTGATTACGAAATTTGGGGTAAATAAAAGTATAAAATACCAAAATCCTAAAAGAGATTAGATTTTGTCTATATCTAACGTAACATTTTCTAGTTCTATACTGGATGTGATTAGCTTCTATGACTTTTGCTACCGTAGCAAAAATATACAGTTATCTCCAGTTCTGACCATGGTTGAATGAGAAGTGAATTTTTCGTAGCTCATGCAAATAATGACCATTGCGAGTAAAGCATCTGTTGATGAATTTGGTTTTAATCTCCAAGCACTGCATATATACAATATATTTCTTGTATACTGTTCATGTCAATTGTCGATTTCAATTGCAATGGAAAAAATATTGTCATTGGCTAAAGAAAACATCGAAATAGAGAGGCGTAAATATTCAAGATTACAAAATCTTTTCGTGATCATGCAGCCACAGGTAGGAGAGAGCTGTATGCAAACTTTGGACCTTGGCTTGAGACGATGGTCATTTGTAGATCATTTACTAAATTAGATCTCTCTTTCACCTGAGTGAAGCTTCGCGAGGTAATGTTTGACATTGATTTATTTGTTTTATAGACTATTATGAATAAATATTATTTCTTTTGTTTCTTCTATATTTTTTCGCCTACATGTTGTTTTGAATATTTACATAAAAATGTTGACTCTACAACATTGATATTACAAAATGATTTTTATTTATTCATGAAATGAAGCGATCGATGTTGTATAATTTATATAACACTCTCTAAGAATTACAATAACAAAATTTAAGTCAATCTTAAAAAAATTGTTGTGTTGTGGGGATGCTTCATCGATAAAAATTACAGGTAATTGCTTTTTTGTACTTGAGAATTTTTTTTTCCAACATGTACCCCCAAAAATGTTACCGCCCATGCATGGTGGGCCTATCCTAATCCAGGTTGGTCTTCATTTGAGCAAATTTAAAACTTCAGTACCTGGCCATAAGTGAGTCATAAAATGGCTGACGTGACGCAGCGTGAAATTTATAAACTTCAAAACAAAAATGCGAATAATTCAAAAGTGAACAAGTACTTACAGTTGATATTTTAATATTTTGCTATGAAAGTACTATCAATCAAAGAAGGCAGATCATAATAGAACATGTGAACGAATTTACATGAATATTCACTAAACCTAGAATTTTTTTTTAATTGAATATCGGTTAGGAACGCATGCATATGGTCCACGTTTTGCAGTCCTTTTTTTTAAAGGACAGCAACTTGTTTATCTAAATAATTCATGCAGCTTTTCAACCATTTGAAAAAATATATCATTGGATTGCACTTCGGATGACCTTTGAATATTTTTACTTCAAGAAAACGTATTTATTAGCAAGTGATTTCATATGACATCATCATTCTTGTCCACTGCTATCGTGGAAGTGAGGGGCATTAAATCTCATTCGTCTGTCTAGCTGTCCATCCGTCACAGAAACTTTAACCTAGGTCAAAACTTTCGAATGAGAAGAAAAAGGGCTTTCATATTTTAAATATATACATTATCTAACCTGTGATAAGAACGCATAAACCGAGGTCCCGTGTCGCAGTAGGTTCTGGCACGAAAAAGATCCCTCCCTGCTTAATGGCCCTGAATGCCGTGTATATAGGACAAAATTTGCAGCTCTCCACCGGCAAGTTGTGGCGTCTCCAGAAGAGTGAAAAATTCTAGAGAGGGACGTTAAACAATATTCAACCAACCAACCAGCCTACCCTGTGACTAATTCTTTTTAAATATACTAAGACTTTTGACCCGTGACGTTCACCTTGAAGTTTGATCTACTGTAAAATTGCATATTTCCGATTAGAAAAATTGTCCAGGTTTGTAGAAAAAATATGGGTTTGTGGGGTTTCGATTTCGTAGATGAAGAATTGTTGAGTAGGTATACATCTATGAAAATTTATATTTCATGTAGGACATAAATTCGTGGGTCTCTTTTTACCTCGAAAACCACAAAATTAAACATCCACAAAAATTAGTGATTCTTCATTTTATTTTTCAAAACATATTTATGAAATGGCCATTAATTGGTCATGGTATTTAAAAGAAAAAATGGTGTTTTTCAATCTTGTCATTAACCACAGAAATAGTAAAAGGATTAAATTATATGAATTAGGTTTCTCATGGCATCTTACCCCGGTGCCTACTTTTAATTTCATTAAAAACATAATTGAGCTATTCTAATTACATTGTAAAAATGTAATCGAGATCCTCGATTTTATTTTTGAATTTTTTTTTAGAGCGACTTTGGGAATACTTTTCACGCAAGAATCCTGGAGTAAAAAACTGGAAAAAAAAAGAAAAGAAAAAAAATATATAAATTGCGTTAAAAAAATTGTACCTGTCAATACGTTTTGAGACTGAAAAAAAAAATGAAAATCAGTTTGAGACTCAAAGTTTCTGTAGTGAAATTAAGAATTCTTATGAAATATTTCCAATCTTTTACAAATTCTAGAAATCTCAATCATACATAGCAAATTTCACAGCCAAAACACCCGCATTAACATTGTAAGTTTTTTTTTCGTAACATGATTGTCTAAAGCGCTATCATAAGGGCGTAATTTTGACGTGAACGGCTCTTCGTAGTCACAGTACAGATGCTTCTGTGTTTGACATTTTAGATGCCCTCTTGAGATTTACTTCCTTTCATGATATGGCTTTTGTGATGCGAATGATCAATAAAAAAGGGTAGGTATTTATATTTTTTGGCCATTTTGAAGAGTAAAACGTGTAGTCCATAACATCCAATTGAAAATGTGGATGCATTAAGAATACGTTGAGTGATGCATGGTTAATATGAATATTTACAAATTCATTCGGTAGGTCAAGAAAACTAAATAATTTCGTAATTTCTGCATGTTTAATTGTATGGTATAGTATATGATTGACAGATATTTCTCCTTTTTATTTATCATGATTTTTGCGGATAAATAGATCTACATGTATATATACATACTCATCTCGCCATGCATGTACGTCGGTAAATAGAATGCCTAGTATGATAGGATAAGTATGGAAAACTGCAGGCATAGTACAAATAAAAGACAACCATTTCCAGGCCTGATCGATATATATGGCCTAGTATTTTTCCGATAACAGTTAAAAGACGCATATATTCATATATTGATTCTTGAGGTTTTGATAAAGTAATTTTACTATTGCCATGATGATAAGAATTATTAACTCTAAAATTTATGAATATTCTTAGGCCCAGTGGCAGTGTTTAAATTTTTTTAAAAGGAAGAAGGAACCGTGGTTAAGGCCTATTTTCATTTGAAAATGTAAATGGGGCGAACGCTTAGTGACCCCCCCCCCCCCACCATTGCTACTTAAATTCGCAACTGGGCTATTTTCTGCAGCTTTTATTCTATTGTAACG